ATATATATATATAGTTTTTAGTTTTATTATGGCTGCAGCGTGGTGGATAATTCAACTTGCTGAAGAAGTTGAAGAAGAAGCAGAGAAAAAAAGATATTTAAGGTTACAAAGAAAACAGTTACGCGATACAATTAACCCGTTTGACATATTGGAGTCACAATTTCTCGCTTTATATCGGTAAATAAAAATATTGAAGCAAATGATATTGATTAAATGATATCAAACTTAAATATAAAAAATTAAACTATTATACATACTATTGCAAACCACATTCAAAAAGAATAATAAAAAATTTATGATTTTAATTTAAAATCAGTGTGTATACATAAAATTTACAATTATAGCTCATTTTATTATAAATTATTTACTAAATTAATTTTCTGTGTGTTTTATATATGTGTGTATAAGACATATATATTTTCTTTAATACAGACTGTCAAAAGAAGCTGTATTTGCATTATGCGAATATCTACGCCCTCATGTGCAACCAGCTGTTAGATCTACAGCGATTCCATTCGAATTAAAGGTATAATTAGAAAAATATATATTTACATATTTATAAAAAACAATCTGACATTATAATAATAATCTGCTATATATATATATATATATATATATATAGTAAGGGATAATATATTAAGTATAATGTTATATATAGTTCATTAATTTTAGGTTTTAACAACATTAAATTTTTTAAGTTCTGGATCCTATCAAAGAAGAGTAGGACAAGACTTTTTAAGTTGTGTCTGTCAATCATCTGTTAGTAACATAGTACATCAAATTGTCGATGCCATCAATATAATAATACCAGACTGGATAAAATTTCCTACACAACGCGATGAAATTCAGGCCATTCAGCAGCAGTAAGCTACAATCATTGTTATTTTTTTTAATGATAAAGAAATTAATGTTTTGAAATATATTTAAATATAGAAAATCTGTTATTTTTCAGGTTTTGGATTAATGCTAATTTTCCAGGTGCAATAGGAGCTACAGATGGCACACATATAGCGATTTTCCCACCTGAAAAAAACAGGGAACATTTATATATCAACAGAAAATTATATCATTCTTTGAATGTCATGATTGTAAGTATTTATATATAGTATTTACATAAACTATTGTATTAAATGCTAGGTATAACCTGCTCAAAATTTTCAATGTTTTTTTCTAGAAGAGTAATATTTACGTAATGAATGGATACATTTATGTGTTTATTATTGTTAATTAGGTTAGTGATTACTATGGTAAAATATTAGCTGTGAAAACAAATCATGGTGGTCGTACACATGACGCCAGAGTCTGGAGTTCCTCTCAGTTATCAAGACATATGTTAAGAGAATATGAGAATGGAAGACGAAATGCCTGGTTAATAGGTATGCATAATATAAAAATATTTAATTTTTATATTTAAAGTTTGAAGTTATATTTAAATATATCATATTGTACGATTGAGTGTGTAAGATATATACATATGTAGGATGATATATTATATGTAATATATCTTACGTCTTACTATATTTACAATTACGTAATCGTACGTATTAGTAAAAGTTACTATTCTTTCATTTACTTTCATTTACTATATGTAAATCTAAATACGTATATACTTTCTTTATGTCCACAAGCATACATTTTGGCATTTAACATTGTTTTATATGTAAAACTAGGCTACTTGATAATATACAAAATATATTAATATACTTGTAATATATCTATAAATAGAAATACCACTTGATAATATACAAAATAATGTTTTTCACTAGACTTTTATAAAAGCATTTATGCATATCGAAATCAAGAAACAGCAAGGTTACGACAGCGAGACGATTTCAAGATGTCGGAGATTGTTGACCTACGCCGAGCACGAGGCTATGCAAAGGCGAAGTTGACAAAACTGCGGACGAGATTAACACAAGCTAGTGATCAATCAGGCCTCGAATTGGACAAGGAGCAAGCAGAGGCAAGGTTGGAGAAGCTAGAAGAGGCATACAACGAGTTTGAGTCCATACAAAAGCAATTGATCGAGAAAGAAGGCGAGTTCACAGACGAGGACGCACTAGAACAAGAATACTTCGAGGAAAGGTATTTCGAGGTAAAATCCCTTTTAAAACGATGCATAAAACAAATGTCAGCGTCGAACGCAGGACCGCAAGATTCGGATGCGGTCACTCAGTTGTTGCAACAGCAAAGCGAGCTTATACAGCAAATGCGTCGCGATGCGCAGCACGAAGGCGCGGACGCCATGACACCGCGTAGTAATAACGAGGCATTGTCAGCCATTCTCGCGCGACAGACCGACATACTTGATCGCGTGGCAAATAACGCAAGCATGACTGGCTTAGATACTAGAGTAAAGTTGCCTACCATCAAACTACCGAAATTTGATGGCAAAATCGAGGATTGGAAGGCTTTCTCTGAAAGTTTCCGTTCTATCATACACGTCAGGACGCAATTATCTGATGTCGAGAAATTTCAATATTTAATTTCGTCCATATCTGGGGATGCCGCAAAAATTATCGAGTCCATCGAGCTTACGGGTCAAAATTATTCGACGGCATGGGAATTATTGCTAAATAGATATGACGATCCTAGATCGCTCAAGAAAAAACACATCGAATGTTTGTTCACAATGCCCGTCGTAACTAAAGAGTCAGTGAAGGCTCTTCGCGAGTTAATCGATTATACTTCCAGGCACCTACGCATGCTAAAGATTCTAGGTCTGCCTACTGATACTTGGGATGACCTAATCATGCATATGATGGAAGACAAATTCGATGTAAAGACACTTCGAGCATGGGAAGAGGAAACGAAGTCCAGCGAGACAGTGACGTTAAATGACATGCTGGAATTCCTAAAAAATAGAAGCCTTATTTTAGAACGTATTGAATCACGTTCGGTGAATAAGGCCGAAAGATCTTGCAAGGAAAAGGAGCAGCGTAGCAAGGGCTCTCATGGACACTCTAAATCACAGTTTGCGAACAAGGGTGCTGCGAATCAAAAGACGAGCTCTCTGACGGCTTCTCTGAATTCTGGTAAATACGCATACCATAAGGTAAAAAGGAGACAAATTCTCATGGCCACTGCAAGGCTAGAGGCAACGCGATGCAACGGCACACGATTTCCGATTCGCGTACTACTTGATAGCGCTAGCGAGGCTAATTTTATCACTCAGGCTGCGTGTAATAAGCTAGGGCTAAAGGGCAGCAGAGCCTTTGAGACTGTGATCGGTTTAAACGAAATTGAAAACAGGATTCATAGTGTTTGCGAAGTTCACGTGCTGTCAAAGTATTCCAATTTCGAGGTTAATGTTCAGTGTTTGATCGTGCCCAAGATCACTAAGAATTTGCCATCTATGAGGATAGATCGCGACAAGTTGCCGATACCGGGTAATATTGTTTTGGCGGATCCAGAATTTCACAATAACGGTCCAATAGACATGTTGCTAGGGGCGGAATATTTCTTTGATATGATTGTCGCGGGTAAAATCGAGCTTGGCCAAGATCAGCTAATTTTACAAAATACGAAACTTGGATGGATCATAGCAGGGTCCGTTCCGCTAACGGCCTGCAGGGATTCGATAAATGATAAAGGTACGTCAAGCGCGTTAGTTTGTTCATTGGAATCTTGCGATGGGTTAAAGGAATGTCTAGAAAGATTCTGGAAATTGGAAGACTATGGCAGCAATAAAACAAAGGTGTTATCGATAGACGAGAAAAGATGCGAGCAGCATTTTGAGCAAACTGTCACGCTAACTGGCGATGGTAGATTCATGGTAAGATTACCTATGCGTGATGCGAATTTGCCCATTGGCGATAATCGAGAAATAGCTTTGAAGCGTCTTATGCATTTGGAGCGTACACTTAAGAACAATGAAGTTATGCGAGATCGTTATGTCAAGTTTATGCGAGAATATATTGAGTTAGATCACATGACAGTCCTGAAACCTTCATTCGACGATTGTAAAGGGGCGGTTTATCTGCCTCATCATGGAGTGTTAAAGGAATCTAGTAGTAGTACAAAATTACGCGTCGTATTTGATGCATCCGCTAAAAACAACAAGGGCGTGTCTTTAAATGACGCTCTCTTAATCGGGCCCGTTTTACAAGATAGCTTGATCGACATAATTATTCGTTTTCGTACATACAAAATCGCTTTAACTGCCGACCTGCAAAAAATGTATCGTCAAGTGTTGGTTCAGGAAGACGATCGCGATTTTCAACGAGTTTTATGGAGATTTTCACCCGACGAGCCCGTACAGGATTATCGCTTGAACACCGTTACTTAAGGCCAAGCGTGCGCATCTTACTTAGCAGTTCGTTGCTTAAAACAATTAGACGAGGAAGGTAAAGAGAGCTACCCTCTTGCGTCTCAGGCTTTGTTAAACAATACCTATGTCGACGATGTAATTTCTGGAACTAGTACAGTTGAAGATGCTCGTTCTTTGCAGGAGCAACTAACTATGTTATTGCGAGAGGGAGGGTTCGAAGCGCACAAATGGTGCTCCAATTGTGACAGCGCACTGAATGGAGTCCCGCACGAACTCCGTGAATCTGATTCTAGTTGTAAGATCAATGCGAACGACACTATTCGAGCTTTAGGACTTGAATGGAATCCAAGGTCAGACAGGCTGCAGTTTACGACAAACACAATAGGTCATGTGTCTACAAAGCGCGAGATGCTGTCCGCGATTAGTAAAATATTTGATCCCTTAGGTTTGATAGGTCCCATCTTAACTACCGCGAAGATCTTGATGCAAAACCTTTGGGAAATCAAGTCGGACTGGGATGATCCGCTCCCAGATTCAATGCTAGACAAATGGAGGGAATTTCGGGATTCCCTAGATGATCGTGAGTTATACGTTCCTAGATTAGTTGTTGGTACATCTGTAAATTGTCGATATTCCATGTTTGGGTTTTGCGATGCGTCCGAGAGCGCATATGGCGCATGTGTATACATACGATCGGTAAGTCAATCTAGCGGAGAAACGACGGTTAGGTTATTGTGCTCAAAGGTGAGGGTAGCCCCTTTAAAGAAGCAATCTATACCTAGATTAGAACTTTGCAGCGCATTACTACTATCTAAGCTGATCGACAATGTAAAACACGCCGCTCACATTGAAATTGACGAGATACATGCATGGTCTGATTCCATGGTCGTGCTATATTGGCTTCGCGGAGACGTATCGCGTTGGAAACCATTCGTATCCAATCGTGTGACGGAAATTGTTGAAATTCTGCCTGCCGTTCATTGGAGTCATGTGAGAGGTTTGGAAAATCCCGCAGATTTGATCTCAAGAGGGGCTTCATCGGCTCAGTTGAAGGATAATTCCTTATGGTGGAACGGTCCTGGTTGGTTGACAGATCAATGCCCTGTTACAAGTAGAGATTCCAATGTGAGATTTAACGACGATGCTGTATACAGAGCCGAGGTCGAAGCCAAGAGGTCCACTACAGTTTGCAACCTCAGTGTACCTCAACTATTAGCCTCAAATGAAACAATCAACACGCTTATCACGGATTGTTCGGCGTTTACAAAGATTGAACGGACAGTTGCCTATTGCATTAGGTTTATTCACAACTGCCGTAAAAGACGTGAGGACAGAATATTGTCTAATTTAACTGTGCTTGAATTGGAGTTTGCAAGGCGCGAGGTGCTCAAGTACTCACAGTCTGTCTACTTCGCGGAAGAACGTAGATGCCTGCAAAATAAGCGAGAATTAAACAAATCCAGTTCATTACTTCAGCTACACCCGTTCCTGGACGAGCATGGCCTGATCAGGGTGGGCAGACGACTTCATGCCGCGCCATGGAGTTTCGATAGAAAGCATCCCATTCTGCTGCCTGTGCAGTGCCGGACCACACGCTTACTGATTGAGAGAGAACATCGAGCACTATTGCATGCTGGACCCCAATTGGCATCAATACGCCAGCGCTACTGGCCATTAAACGCAAGAGATTTAGTGCGACAGGTTTGCCGTTCCTGTGTCTGGTGCGCTAAACACAATCCAAGAGGACTAACCCAAGCGATGGGATCGCTGCCCCGCGAAAGAATCCATCCTTCCCGGGCATTCACAATCACCGGAGTCGATTTTGCCGGCCCAATCATTACCCTCGTCAACAAAGGACGAGGAAGGAAAACGTGCAAATCTTACATAGCGCTGTTTGTTTGCTTCGCCACCAAGGCCATTCACCTCGAAGCTACAAGTGAGTTATCCACAACCGCCTTCATGGCCACCCTGCGTCGATTCATCGGTCGTCGAGGCTTGCCAAGGAGGATCTGCAGCGACAACGCCACCAATTTTGTAGGTGCCAAACGCGAGCTGCAAGAGCTTTACACATTTATCCACGCATCTATCAACGGAGAAGTTGGAGACGCATTGCAAGAAAGAGGTATAGAATGGAGATTTATTCCCCCTTATTCACCACACTTAGGAGGTTTATGGGAAGCAGGAGTTAAGTCTTGTAAATATCATCTCCGTCGAGTCATGGGCAACACCTTATTTACCTTTGAGGAACTGGCAACGGTTTTGGTGCAGATCGAAGCTTGCCTGAATTCTAGACCCTTGTCACCCCTATCTTCAGATCCCTCTGATTTGGAACCCCTGACACCCGGGCACTTCCTTGTAGGGGGGTCACTTGTTTGCCTTCCAGACAGGGATCTGGCTACTTTGAAGATTAACCGCCTTGACAGGTGGGAGTTAGTGCAGCGCTCAGTTCAAGATTTTTGGAAACGGTGGGCGGCCGAATATGTGGCGAACTTGCAAAGCCGCGTCAAGTGGAAGACTCAGCGAGAGAATCTTCAAGTCAACGATCTCGTGCTGCTAAAGGAGGATAACCTTGCGCCGTTAAAATGGAAAATTGGACGTGTCACCGAAGTTCATCCTGGCATGGACAATTTAGTACGCGTAGCGACGGTACGCACGGCCACTAGTGTTGTTAAACGTGCGATTGCCAAGCTTTGTAAATTACCAGTAGTAGATGATTCTATAAGAGAAGATTAATGAAGTAATCTTGGTGGGCGGTGTGTTAGCGCGTTACTCAGC